TGCCGGTTTGAAGTGCCTGCTGTTTTCACTGTTAAACCGAGTTGGAGCTAGTACCTCCTCTTATATATTTATATATGTAGTGTAATTACAAACTGAAAAGGAATTTTGTGTTCCCAACAAGGTAGGTGAAGGACTGCTTTCACAGACACTTCTCTATCAAAACTGAGCATGTGGAGAGACTTTCCTTCATCTAGCACATAGGGAATGTGTTGCAGAGGAAACACTTTGGTTTCTCAGTGTGTTTCCTAGTTCCTGTTTGAACTTCATACAGTTTTCTCTGTAAACCCGTGTTGCATCTAGTAACTCTCTCTATATATATTTACGGAATTTAATTTCCAGCTGAAAAGGAACTTTGTGTTCCGAACAAGTTAGGTGAAAGACGGCTTTCACACACACTTATCTCTGCAAACAGCATGTGGAGAGACGTTCGTTCATCTAGCACAAGGGAACGGGTTGCAGGCGAAACACTCTGGTTTATCAATCTGTTTCCTAGTGCCTTTTTGACAATCATGCAGTTTTCATTCTAATACCGAGGTGGAGCTAGTACCTCCCCATATATATTTATGTAGTGTAGTTTCCCAGTTAAAAGACACCGTGTGTTCCCAACAAGCTTGTTGATTGACGGTTTTACAGACAATTAACTCTCAGAATTGAGCATGTAGTTACACGTTCATTCATCTAGCTTAAATGGAATGGGTTGCCGTAGAAACACTTACTCTGGGTTCTCAGTATGTTTCCTAGTGCCGGTTGGAATTTCATGCAATTTTTACTGTAAAACAGCGTTGGAGCTATAACCTCCTCATATATATGCATGTCATGTAGTTTCCCACTGAAAAGAAGCTGCGTGTTCCCAACAGGCTATGTGATTGACGGTTTTCACACACACTTAAATGTCAGAATTGAACACGTGGAGAGACGTTCTTTCATCTAGCTTAAGGAAAATGGGTTGCAGTTAAAACACTTTTTCTGGATTCTCAGTATGTTTCCTCTGTCGGTTTTAAGTTCATGCAGTTTTCAGGGTAATTCCCTGTTGGAACTTGTTCCTCCCCATATATATGTATGTAGTGTTGTTTCCCACTTAAATGAAACTCTTTTCCGAACAAGGTAGGTGACTGACGGCTTTCACACACACTTAACTCTCAGAATTGAGCATGTGGAGAGACGTTCTTTCATGTAGCATAAATGGAATGTGAAAGTGATGATCATGACCTGTGCTTGTAGGAAAACAGTAAAGGGAGGATTAATTTATAGCCTTTATATTTATGGTCAACATACATTACAGAATTTCATTTTCAGCTGTTGACGTCTTTTTTTTAATCTTCAGAAAAGTTGTCTTTCCT